GTATTAGGCCACACACCCCATGCCTTCCCTTGGCTTGCCCAGGCAAGCCCCCCCATGATGGGAAGGGAAGGCAGTTTAAACAGGCCGGGGAAGGCACAGGGAGGCATTTAATCACCGGGGGGTGTCACTCTCCAGGCCTTCCCTCTGTAGCCACGCACAGAGAGGTTTTGGTTGTAGTGGGCGCGGCCAACTCTGAAGCCAGCTGGAACTCCGTTCCTGTGCGTTCCTGCCCAAAAATAGCCCTGAATTAAGCACTCATGAGTATCCACTAGGAGGCCTCATACAAGTTGAAGAACTGTGCCAGTCTGCCTTCAGTGATGCTGTTTTGCAAAGAAAAACAGTAAGTAGAGCAGCAAGCTTTCTGCTGAACTCCTGGATCAGTGGTTCCCAGCCTTTTTGAGCTTGCAGGCACATTTGGAATTCCTGACACAACATGGTGGGTGCAGCCACAAAATGGCAGCCACAATTTAAGTTCAGTAACACAGTGCAGATCCTTGTGCTGTGGTGGCAGCTGCTGCCAAACAGCATTCTAAGAAATCTGCACAGCCAATCAAATCTCCAGCGGCCAATCAGAAGCCTTGCTGGACAAAAGCCCTACCTGGCCCACCCACTTCCTAAAAGCACTTGGCAGGCACCAGAGCAGGTATTGGTAGGCACCATGGCACCCACAGGCATTACACTGGGGAACCCCTGCCATGGACCATCCCATCTTCTCATGTCAGAAATTAAGAGCCTCCTTAACGCACTGCTGACATTAACTGTTCAAAAGAAGTAGCTGCTGCTCCCTAACCCATTATGTCACCAGGAAGAAGGGGGTCATAGCAGAAGCACCCCAGGATCAATCCCTCCTATATTCAGGTTTAAAGGGATCTCCAAATAAGAGGTCTGGGAAAGGCTTCTGGAGGTGATCTTGAAGAGCTGATGCCACTCAGATTAAACAATACCGAGCTAAAGGAACCAGTATGTCGGTACGTAATGGCACTTTATATATTGGCCAGAGGAGGGGGCAGATTATTGTGTGTTCTGCCAAAGATTTATGGAAAGAAATAAGAGTAGGATGAAGAAGATATTATGATGAACCCGGCTTCCTCTGTGAATGCCGTTTTTAAAAAGGATTGTCTCTTTCCTTACATCCTGCAATCGCTCTCAAGAGCCTTTGGAGGATACTCTCCAAAAGATACCAGTGAGGCAAGTCAGCTGAGTAAGGCCATGTAAGAATGCCCTCGCTCTCTATCAC